GGAAACAACTATATTATATCTCCATAACACAGTACAACCAGAAAAAAAAAAAGAATAGAAAGAAATTTGTGATTACTAATTTCTTGAGGCTTGCGCAATATCTGCAAGAAGTGATCCATGTGGACCCCATGGCTCATTGCTTGTAGCATCTAGAACCTAAAAAGAAAAAAAAGGCAGAGAAACAAAATATGTGACAGGTATGTTGGAAAAAAAAAACTTTCTTTAAATCCCATAACCTTGCTATCGGCCAAGTATTGCTAATCCAAAATCAGAACCATAACAATATTTCAATTGTTCATACTGAATCCAATACGATAATTCAGCTTATAAGAGGCAAACGAATCAACTCAATCACTTCCAGCAAACTATTACTGACGGAGACACGTCCTACTCCAGGATCGTATAAAACTTCGTAAAAACTAAAACAGAAAAGAAGCTAACAGCCCACTTTACCTTCTGTTCTATTCCAGGAACTTTGAGCACTTTCTTGTTAACCTCTCTTTTTCTGGAACAATCAATCAAACAAAACAAAAGGACATCTTCAATGACAAATCAGTAATATAAATACGCTCACTTAGATGAATAGCATTTAATGACCCATATTCTTTCTTAGTCACACTACTTACATGTCTCTGACGGTCTGATCAAAGGCTTTCTTCATCTCGGGAGATTTTCCACAATAATTTCACTCTTAAACAGAAGGATTAGGCGCACTTCGTCGAGTATGAGCACTTTCCCTGCCGATTATTATGAAAAAGATTCAGTTCATACATCACCAGGACAGGATGCCATAGGGAGTCCGTCCTCGTAATACAAAAGCTTGTGAAGTTCAAATTGGGCCAAATCAAAAGCTTCGAAATCAATCAACCTTTAGATCTTCGCTGGTCGAAAAGTAAACCAGTTATAAACCATACAAGCAATAAATTACAGAAAATGACCACATCAAGAATCAAGATATGCCAAGCACAACAGAAAACAAAGATGATAATGCAAAAAGATGATAAAATGAAAATAATCAAATACATGACGACAGGCAATATACGTAACACGTAAAGGAGGAAATTCCCATTTGAGATCAGATCGTCGAATCAACCGGGGGCACAAGAAAGGGTTGGACATGGCCGATTTATCGCTCAAACTCAAGGTAAACATTTTCTACGACATGAAAGATGATCCACCGCAACAAGATGCCGCGAATTCAACCAATTAAACGAATAAAAGATGATGTCAGAACAAAAATCCAGACATCACGCCCATTTGAGATCGAAATTCGAATGATAACAGCCAAAAATAGATCAACGCAAGGAAAAAAAGGGAAACATCAACGTTCAAATGCACCTAGTCATGGATCTAAAACGAATATATCCCCTATAAAAGTCAAACACAGAGCTCTCGTAAGGCTAATCACAACCAGTAATCCAGCTGGTTGGGCTGGTTCGATGGCTCTGTATGGATTAGCAGTTTTTGAACCCTCGAAAAGAAAATTCAGCTTGAAATTCAATCGAAGCCTCAGATCTAAGAAAATCTAAACAAATCTTTAAATCCAGCAAAGAAAAACACGAGCCTGACCTTAAAGACAGCGAGATCAAACCGGCTAGAATCCAAACTTGACCGCAAAATGGAACCGGATCGCGAATCTGCGAGATACAGAGAGTACGGCGACGAAGAAGAAGAAGAAGAAGACTGGGAGCGAGAGAGAGAAAAGGAAAAGGCGAAGAAATCCTTGGAAGCTTGAGGTTCAGATGGTCTCCCGTACTGTGGTTTCTCACTGCCGCTCTCTCTCTCTCGCTGGCCCGGGTTAGAGAGAGAAGCAACGCAACCCCCAGCAGCCAAAGGAGAAAACTTTGATTAAAAAAAGAATTTGAAGAATGTAGAAAATTTAGATCTAATTAAAAATAAAATAAAAGGAATAAATACAGCGCATCTAATCACAGCTGTTTATTTTTATTATTCCATTTTCTGTTTAAAAAAATTAAATTATAAATTAAAATAGGTGATTCATTTTTTTTATTTTTTTATCTTGAATATTATGCACCACACCATCTTATAATCATATATCAACTTTGGAGGTAATAATTCTAACAAACTCGTTACATTCCATTATGGTATTTTGTCCTCACTAGTTAAAATTGTGTACCCGAGGGGTCAATGAAATTTATCTTTCGGATGATTGTGTAAAAATAGAAATAATTATCACGTTTTTATCATTTTATGTTATACAAAACGAGAATTATTACAACTGAATTTCGAATGGCCATTCTTTGACAAGTAGATCATTTCAATTTAATACTAAAGAGAGATTAAAATTCATAATTATGTAGATATTTCCCCCTTGGTAAGCGGGCCTAGATGTTAGGCCCATATTTAGCAGAGCCCAAGCCCATTTTTCCATAGCCCGTTTAAGCTATATGCCAAGACACGTGTCAATCTACGATTGGTGAAAATTTTCATGCTAAAAGCGCTTCCTTGGGCAACAATCCTCTGTTTCGTATTAGTCGTCGTCCGTTGTGTGTGATTATTCACAAACGAAAATAGAAAACCCTAGACCCAGATTGTTCGGTTCCTTCAACACCCAGGTTTTATTTTCTTCCGCGACAGGAATTTCAATCGAATCCGGACACAGCAGAAGGCACAAGGCGAGCATCTGCGCGATATTTCTCCGATCACTTGACCGGCATCGATGGTGGGTTTCTCTCGCCGTTCTCATATCTCGCTGTTTTACAGAACTTTTCTCTTGTGACGAATCATGTGTCGAATCGATTAACTAGCTGAAATTGAGCTTCGGGTGGATTCATTTGTTGTTTTAGGATAGATTTACAACGTGAGGTTTGCATATTTCTGAGAGATTCCTGGGTTCTATGAACAGGGTATGAAATGAATTAGTCGGTTGTTTTCGTCATCTTTTCGTGAAGGGTTTTCTCGGGGTTACCATTTGCCTATTTTCTAATCAATTTCAATTGCACTGGGTAATTCTTGCTTAGGTCGGAAAAGTTTCGTTTTTTCACGAAACCCATGTAAGCGAACATTGTTGTTTTGTTTCTTGTAATTGCGTTGGAAAGTTTCTGAGATCATCTGTTCGTTTGATTTCATGAGCTATACTTGGTCAATTTTGTGTATGCTTTAATGCTTGTGTGTAAGTCTATGCATCGTCCAGTTTACATTTTTATTGCTCAGAGGTCTTGTCTCCTTTTCATCCTTGCATATCTTGTCTCTGTGACTTCAATTTGCTGATCCATTCTTTTTTTTATTTATAATTAGGCTGCAAAGATTCTTGCAAACTTGATTGTGATGGGTTCTGGGATATTGGCTCGGGCTTTTGTTCAAGCTTATCGTCAGGCACTTGCAAGTAAGATGTAAACCTCTTCTTCTTCATCAGCTGTCGGCCTCCATTAGGCATTAGCTGTGTTATGTTTATTCTATCCTGTTATTATAACTCCGATGTGTAGCTATGCGTGGTTTCTTAGTTAACTTAATTTATTGTACCTTGGGGTTCTATAAATTCACTTTGCTACATCTTCGGATTTGCATTGATGTTGATGTGGATACCCAATAACAGAACTATGCACAAAATACTACTGTATGTTTGCTTATTTGGTAAGGTTCTCAAATGATAGGTGCACATGTCATGAATTGAATCTTTTGGGAACTGGTTTTTGCATCTCTAGGGCTTTGTTAACCTATCGGAAAGTATGTTTGCATATTGTTTGCAGTCTCCTCTGTTTCTTGGATTATTGACAGATGATAAGAAAGACGAATGAATGGTGAATGCTATGTTTGAAGGTGGCTGCTCCCTTAACTTCTAAAAATTTCTTTTTCAGATGCATCAAAGACAGGTGTTGCGCAGGAAGCAATGCAGAATGCAGCCCGTAGGGCAGGCAAAGTCATGACCGAGCAAGAGGCTAGGCAGGTTCTTGGCGTGACCGAACAGACATCTTGGGAGGAAATCTTGCAGGTATATATACACATTTCCTTCATTGCCCAAGTATGATTTAGGGTTCAGGGATTAGGGCTTATAGTTTCTCCTTTTTTTATAAATCCGAAAGAAGAAGAAACCAAAACTCTGTGTGTGTGTGTGTGTGTGTGCAGAGATACAACACTCTGTTTGAGAATAACTCAAAAGCCGGGAGTTTTTACCTTCAGTCTAAAGTTCACAGAGCCAAAGAATGCTTAGAAGCAGTGAACCGTAGCAGCAAAGCTGACGGTGTTTCCTAGTTGATTGAAGGCTATCATCCCCTTTTACAATACTCTAACCTCAATATTTTTGCATATACATCTAATAATGGAGCAGTGAGTTACGAATATGTAATGGTTGTATTTCCTTTAGTTTCCATCACAACTCGAAACTCTATTCAGACATCAAACGGACTTGTCAATGTAAGAATCTCCAAGAGTGACCATGTTTGCCTGTAAATTGCCTTCTTGGGTTGGGTTTTTGCCCCTTTATATATAAACGCGTCTTGATTGACGGTGGATTTATTAGAGATTGAGACAATAACATTGATAACGCAAACTGTTAAGAAATTACAAAATTAGAGGAAAGTCAAATTGTATTGCGCTGTAGAACTGGAAACAGGACAGAGTGTCTAACGTGAAGAATTGAACCACAAAGTATATATTTATACTATTTGGAGATGCAATCATGAGAAGTTATATACACACAATTCAATTGACTTTATGGTATGGAGTTTGCAATGTTTGACCGATAAAAACCCGACATTGCTGCCATTTCTTCTTCACTAGTCGTTGGAACGTTACTATCATATAGTTTATTATTTATATTTCCCCGATGATTCCGTGATGAATAATATTTTAGATATATAAATAGAATTTTCGTTAGTTATGGCCTAATGATTATAATTTTCGTTTAAATTTTAAAGATTGCATCTTCAAAACGACATTTTCCACGATAAATATCCAAAAATAATAGTATTATGTTTCTTGTTAGTTATGCACGCTTATAACAAACAAATCCGAATTAAATATTAATTAATTATTTTGGAACTAATGTTACTTAATTTTGAAGTCAAGTGGAAGAATGTCTGACAAATCTCAAATGATCCGTCCCGACAATGAAGGGTAGTTGTGTATATATTCCGTAAACGGGTTTAACTTATGGAATAGTCCTAATTAATTCATTATTGATTAATCATCATCTTGTTCTTGTTGGCGCAAACCTATCCACTCCTCTGCATATTAAAGAAAATATCTAATACATACATATATATATATATATATATGTGTGTAATTTTACATCTTATGTGTAAAGTAAAGGATGGAATAAAATCATTTCGTCCACTAGAATTGCGAAAGACCACATGCCCTCCATCTTACATGCATGACAATGCCAGGACATATGCATATTTGTCTGTATATATATGTATAAATGTGTGTGGGTTTATCTATATGTATATATGAACAAACACATGATATCGAGAACTGTCAAAAAGCAAATCTTTACAGCGATCAAAAGCAATGATGTCTCTTTGCCTTTATGTCAGAAGGCAGTTCATAATACGAATTATAGAGAAAAGCCATAGATTTTACTGATAATAATCACTCTCGATACATAAAACACGAACGAAGCTCCAAATTAAGAAGGATTATACAAAATACAATTCTATGCACAACAAATAAATTACACCTTTTTTTTTTTTATCATCACCAACACTTCGGAGGAAGAGTACATGACGATGATGACATAAGACATAATTGTGTTCGACTTGAAGACAGTACTAAGATAAACATGTGGAAGATGGCCACCATAGAAGTGGGAGAGATTTGGTCCGCAGTGTGAGATATATGGTTCTTGGACGCGAGAACGGGACCATTATTTGGTGAACTCGGAGATGGAGCTTCTAGTTCACTTCTTCCCATCATGGGCACTTCCTTTATTCCATTTCTTGAAAGCAAACCTAATAAACATAAGAGATGATTAATTAACCAATGATGGAAGAATTTAGGTCCAAGGAAAAGAATTATATATGGAAGTGGGTGTACCAAACATGAATAAGAAGTGATGGGCAACTCACTTGAATGATTGAAAAACTTGCTTGAATGGGTTGAGCCTAATAGTGTGTGGGAGGTGGTGGAGATGCGTACATGTAGACTGGAGGAGGAGGAGATTTCACCGGAGGTGGGGGAGAGTGGTAATAGTACGGTGGTGGTGGGGATTTTACTGGCGGTGGAGGAGAATGGTAGTAGTACGGTGGTGGTGGGGATTTCACCGGCGGAGGTGGTGAATGGTAATAATATGGAGGAGGTGGAGATTTTACTGGTGGAGGTGGTGAATGGTAGTAGTAAGGAGGTGGTGGGGATTTTACCGGTGGTGGAGGAGAGTGGTAGTAGTACGGCGGTGGTGGGGATTTCATCGGTGGAGGTGGTGAATGGTAATAATATGGAGGAGGTGGAGATTTTACTGGTGGAGGTGGTGAATGGTAGTAGTAAGGAGGTGGTGGAGATTTTACCGGTGGGGGTGGAGAGTGGTAATAATACGGAGGTGGCGGAGATTTCACTGGGGGAGGTGGTGAATGGTAGTAGTAAGGAGGTGGTGGAGATTTTACCGGTGGGGGTGGTGAATGATAATAGTATGGAGGTGGTGGAGATTTTACCGGTGGTGGGGGAGAGTGATAATAATATGGAGGTGGAGGAGATTTTACCGGTGGAGGTGGTGAATGGTAGTAATAAGGTGGTGGAGGGGATTTCACCGGTGGTGGTGGAGAATGGTAGTAATAAGGTGGTGGAGGAGATTTCATCGGTGGTGGGGGTGAATGGTAATAGTATGGAGGAGGTGGAGACTTGACCGGAGGTGGGGGAGAATGGTAGTAGTAGGGAGACGGTGGGGACTTGACCGGTGGTGGAGGTGAGTGGTAGTAATAAGGAGGCGGTGGAGATTTGACCGGTGGTGGAGGAGAGTGGTAGTAATATGGAGGTGGGGGAGATTTGATCGGTGGTGGGGGAGAGTGGTAGTAGTACGGTGGCGGAGGAGATTTCATCGGAGGAGGTGGAGAATGATAGTAGTATGGGGGAGGAGGAGATTTCACCGGAGGTGGTGGAGAGTGGTAATAGTATGGAGGTGGTGGAGATTTTACCGGTGGTGGTGGTGAATGGTAATAATAAGGCGAAGGAGATTTGACCGGAGGAGGTGGTGAATGATAATAGTACGGTGGTGGTGGAGATTTTACTGGTGGTGGTGGGGAGTGGTAGTAGTAAGGAGGAGACTTCATCGGTGGTGGTGGAGATTTGTAATAGTAAGGAGGAGACATCATCGGTGGCGGTGGAGATTTGTAATAGTACGGTGGATGGTAAGGAGCGGGGTAATGTACAGGAGGAGGTGGTGGAGATTTGTAGACATATTTTGGAGATGGTGGTGGTGGAGATTTGTAGTAATACGGCGGGTGGTAAGGAGCCGGATAATGTACCGGTGGCGGCGGCGGAGATTTATAGACATATTTCGGAGATGGTGGTGGTGGAGATTTGTAATAATACGGCGGGTGGTAAGGAGCCGGATAATGCACCGGTGGCGGCGGCGGAGATTTGTAGACGTAAATCGGAGATGGCGGAGGTGGAGACTTGTAATAATAGGGAGGGTGATAAGGAGCGGGCTTGTGACATTCCTCGTACGGTTTCTCCGGTGCATAAGCGAAGGGCTTGGCGTAAAGTACAACCTCGTATTTTGTCTTAGATTTCACCCTAAGTTTCGCTCCTTTGTTACCCCAATGGTAACTCGTCGGCATATTACACGGCGAACCCTTCGGCGGCGCATGAAGCTTCGCTGTACATGCTTCGCCTCCGTATTTGCGGTAATCGTATCCTTCGACGGTAACTGCGTATTTACCGTTGATCTTCGTTTTACCGTAAGCTTTCACTGTCTTGTCTCCGGCTTTACACGTCACCTCCACAACCGCGCCTGCATGGCAAAAAAATAATTATTGTTATTGGAATGTTATAAAATTGTGATTTTATTTATTTTGTTGTATCTCTAAGTCAACAACTGCTTCTGTCTTTATCTTGACCAAAACAATATTCTTTTGTCCATTCCAATAATTCATACACGTCCTATTATCCAACTTTTTTCTTTTTAGTTCATAATAAAGTTTAATTATGCGGAGGATTGTCTTATAACATGTTTTCCGCATCGAAAATTAATAATGATTTGTCAAATAAAATTATTAACGTCACTTCACGAAGAAAACCAATAAGTATATTAAGTCTTGAATTTTGAAATTTTTTAAATGATTAAAATTATAACACTTGTTTTCTAAAAAGACAAGCAAGATAGGCATGGTTCCAAAACATTATCAACCTCCATCATTTAACGACAAAACATAAAAAAAAAAAAAAATCTATTTGTTTTAAATTTGTAATAATTTATATCAAATCGAGGGAAAAAGAGCCTAAGCGGAAAAAACTAACCAAAGCTGCCCATGAACTTAGAAACTTACCTTTGAGGTGCTTCTTGTCGTGGGACTTCTCGGGGTGAGCCCAGTCGTAGCATCTGAAGCAGTACACTTTACCCACAACCTTAAAGACAAGTGGGTGAGGGTGAGGGTGAGGGTGAGGGTGAGGGTGAGGGTACGTATGGTAAGGAACCGGCGGAGGAGGAGATTTGTAATAGTAAGGAGGAGAGTATGATTTTGGAGGCGGTGGTGGGGATTTGTAGTAGTAAGGTGGAGAGTAAGTTTCCTTCGGTGGTGGGGGAGATGTGTAATAGTATGGTGGTGGAGGTGATTTCATCGGCGGTGGCGGAGAGTGGTAGTAATACGGTGGAGGGTAGGATTTTGGAGGAGGAGGTGGTGAGTGGTAATAATATGGTGGTGGGTAAGATTTCGGAGGAGGAGGTGGTGAGTGGTAATAGTACGGTGGCGGTGGAGATTTTACGGGAGGTGGGGGAGAATGGTAATAGTACGGTGGTGGCGGAGATTTCACCGGAGGAGGTGGAGAGTGGTAATAGTACGGTGGCGGTGGAGATTTGACTGGTGGTGGAGGTGAGTGGTAGTAGTATGGTGGCGGTGGAGATTTCACCGGTGGTGGAGGAGAGTGGTAATAGTATGGCGGCGGCGGAGATTTGACGGGTGGTGGAGGTGAGTGGTAGTAGTATGGTGGCGGTGGAGATTTAACCGGTGGTGGAGGAGAGTGGTAATAGTATGGTGGCGGCGGAGATTTCACCGGCGGTGGAGGAGAATGGTAGTAGTAAGGCGGTGGAGGAGAGTTCACCGGAGGAGGTGGAGAATGATAGTAGTAAGGAGGTGGTGGAGACTTCACCGGAGGTGGAGGTGATTTGTACTCATACGGTGGAGGAGGAGACTTCACCGGAGGAGGTGGAGAGTGATAGTAATACGGTGGAGGAGGAGACTTCACCGGGGGTGGTGGCGAATGGTAGTAGTATGGAGGCGGAGGAGATTTCACCGGAGGCGGTGGCGATTTGTACTCATACGGTGGGGGAGGAGACTTCACCGGAGGTGGCGGAGATTTGTACTCATATGGCGGAGGAGGAGACTTTACCGGAGGCGGTGGAGATTTGTATTCGTAAGGCGGTGGAGGTGGAGAGCTGTAGTAGTAAGGTTCAGTGGCCAATGTCGAGCCAACGAGTAGTGCTAAAACAGCAACTACCCACTGTGGCCGGACACGACCCCATGTTGGAGCCGTCATCCTTCACCGGAAAATCTCACCGGCGGCGATTATTTCTCCCTTCAGATTCTCCAAATCTTTCAAAGAGAGGAGAAAATATCTATTTCTCGAAGAGGGAGAGGGAGGTTTTCGTTGTTATGAGTTTGTGCATGGGAAAGGGCCGTTTATATAGCGAAGAAGCAGTCGTTGGGGGTGGCTTTCACAAAGTGACCAATTCCATTTTTTTCATCTTTTTTTTTTAATTATTTTCCTCGTGCATTTATTTATTTATTTATAAATTAGCTGTCAATTATTAGTTTCGGTATTTTTCTAATGAAATTTGATGGGCTCTCTACGCTGGTCAGAAAACTAATCTCCAACCACCCAATTGAAAAATCATTGTCTGATTTTATCATTATACTATATGTTAATAGGTGACATATACCCACATTCAATATCATATAACTTTCTGTATCTTCATTATTATTATTAATTTATTATCATCTACTTGTAAAAATATTTATTCTTTTGATGATAACGAGCAAAACAGTAGATGTTATAAAAAGGGCTTATAGTAAAATTCATAAATGCATGTATAATTTTTTGGTATGCAGATTTACAGTTAAAGGGCACAAGCGAGGACCACATATTTTCCCTTAATGCATCATACGATGTGATCGAAAGGTTCCTAATTTTGCATTCCATCGAAATCGGAAATTAAATTTATTTATAAACTTTTGATAAAGAAACACTAAGGGAGAAGGTAATATAATTAACAGTAGCCTTATACATTTTTTTGAATGTGGCTCGGTTTTATTATTTTGGATTTATTCTTTATTTTTATTAAAATTACCGATTTTATAAAATGATTCTTATTTTTGTTAATTTTTCATTGTTTTTTTATTCACTTTAAATTCGATTAAATTACTTAAAAATTATCTGAAATAAATTATATTATCAGTATAAATTAATTTCTTATATTTGGGATTGACAATAATAATGCTAATTATGTGTGTGTGGAAAAGAAGGTAATAATTAAAAGTTTAAGTCAACTGTAATGAAATTTCTGAGATAGACCATTAACATCAACAGCAAGACAGCCTGTCTATGAATATGAAACCGAGTTAAATTCAAAATTAAATTGAAACCAAATTATCTAAACCTGAAACTATATATATATATATATATATATATATGGAGAAAAAAGAAAATGAATTTGATAATTTGTCTCACGCATGTATTATTAGATATATCGCTCTCTTGACTCGTTAATTATACAATGTCGACTCACTTCCCCACACATTGATACGTATTTCAAAATTGTTATAACCACATTATTGTAATTATATATGCCCTTTAAAAAATCAATTTTTTTTTTTTTTTGCAATTTTAAAAACTCCTCGTATATATATGGAATTTTGGTTTCCTCGGTGTATATCTCTCGAGCCTTTAATTATCTTACGCAAGAATCAATTAAAATTTTGTGTTGGCAAAATCTCTGACAACAATGGATAAATTTGTATTAATTGTTCATATGATTTTTAATTTCCATGTATTTATTATCTCCCTTAAATGTCGGGTTATAATACAGATTCTTGATAAATCTCCCCATGCATGCATGTATGCATACACTTATATATGTTGTATATATGTAAACCTTTGTGTGTATAAAATATATATATATATATATATATATATATATATATATATATATATT